GTTTGTGCTCTGTCTCTCTCTGTCCCAAAAAAAATAAATAAAAAACGTTGAAAAAAAAAATTTAAAAAAAAAATAAAAAAATAAAACTGAAATGAGCATCCCCAATTCACCAAACTTGTCCCACCACCACCAAAAATGGGACTCTAGGCAGTCAGCATTTTTTATAGTTTCCAATTACAAGCCATTAGAGACCTTTTAGAACAGTTTTTCTGTTCCATTTCCAATCTAACCATGGGCTCACAGCTGTGGCCTACACAGGTTGCCAAACCTGACCCACCCTAGTCCCTGAGGTACCGCTACTGTGTTAGCCACATAGACAGTTACTGCTGTTAACCTCACGTCGAGCTTCTCACAGATACAAGGAAGAAACAACCAATAAACGGAGAGTGAACAACTGAAGTGTGGCACATCACCACCAACTGCTGCCTTCTGCAATTTACATAGCGACAGGACCTCTCCAACTTCCCTGGGATGAAAAGAGAGCTGTCTGGAGGTCATCCCAACCCATTATCACGTGTCAAAACATATGGAACGAAACGTCTCTTTCATAAGCAGGTACACCACCCTTAGCGCAAAGATTTAAGATGATAAGATACTGGTATTGTCATATTTCCATCCCAAGAAACCAAGAAAAGCAGACAGTATACAAAAAAAAAAAAAAAAACCACAAAACCTCAAACAATATACAAATCTACAGGTATTGCATCACTACTCAGCTCTTACAAAACCCTGTACCTGTTGCAGAACCTCTTATTTTAAAGACAGTAAACTTGGGAACAGCTCAATATTAAAAGTTTGATTCTGGGGCTCCTGGGTGGCACAGTCGGTTGAGCGACCGACTTCGCCTCAGGCCATGATCTCACGGTTTGTGAGTTCAAGCCCCCGTCGGACTCTGTGCTGACAGTTCAGAGCCTGGAGCCTGCTTCACATTCTATGTCTCCCACTCTCTCTGCCCCTCCCTCACTCATGCTCTGTCTCAGAAATAAATAAACATTAAAAAAAAATTTTAAAAAAAGTTTGATTCACCCCCCCTTGACAACTTAAAAAAATTGTTTTAATGTTTGTTTATTTTTGGGGAGGGGAGAGAGGGAGAGAGCTGAGGAGGGTGCTTAACCGACTGGGCCATCCAGGCACGCCCTTGACTACTTTTAAAGGCCAAAGAGTTCAGTTCTTTATTTGAATTCCAAAGAGTAGCTCTACCCACCCACACCCAGAAAGAGTAGGGAAAAAAAACTGACTAATGAACAACCCTAGAGGAAATATAAAGGGATCTGGGGGTAATCTAAGTAAATACTTAGCAGGGGCGCGTGGGTAGTTAGGTCGGTTAAGCATCCGACTTTGGCTCAAGTCATGATCTTGCGGTTTGCGAGTTCAAGCCCTGTACTGGGCTCTGTGCTATCGGCATGGAGCCTGCTTCAGGTTGCCTGTACCCCCCTCTGTCTGCCCCTCCCCCAGTTGCATGGACGCACATGTGTGTTCTCTCTCTCTTTCTCTCTAAAATAAACGTTAAAAAAAAATACTTAGGAGGCTTTGGAGGGGGGAGGACAACCAAGAGCATTCCCTATTGATGCAATAGCTCCCTTTGGGCCAAATAAATTCCACAGATGTTCAAAGGGTGCCTCCCATGACAAGATGCACAAAAAAGTTATAAAACTTCTTACACCAACATATTCAGAATGGAGCTTATGTTATTTGTAAAAAGCCAAGTTTCTATATCTAGTCTATTTCTCCTCTTTATCCTATTCCAAATAGGACAAAGAGGCATCTCAATAATACCAATTTATCTTGGTTTGCTTGAAAGTCACATGGTTTTATTCTAACTCTGTATCTTACTTTTACTGAGAACTCCAGGAGGCCGGCAGGTACATACATAAGTGACTTGTCCCATGTATTTTGGCTTTGTCAAAAGAAAATGAAAATCAACTTTCTATCAGTAGAAATTATAATGAACCTAAGTCAACAGCCCCCAAAATGAAGTACTTTATTAAAACCAAGTGATGATGGGGCGCCTGGGTGGCTCACTTGGTTAGGCGACCAACTTCGGCTCAGGTCATGATCTCGCAGTTCGTGAGTTCAAGCCCCACGTCGGGCTCTGTGCTGACAGCTCAGAGCCTGGAGCCTGCTTCAGATTCTGTGTCTCCCCCTCTCTCTACCCCTCCCCTGTTCATGCTCTGTGTCTCTCTGTCTCTCAATAATAATAAATACACATTAAAAATAATTTAAAAAAAAAAACAAGTGATGATGAATTACTGTTCTTAGCCTATTGACTTAAGTAGACATTTTAACACAGCAAATGACATTGTGTAAGTTCACAACTTAGTTTTTACAGTTAGTAAGAACCTAAATAATCAAACCTAGTGTATTTTTGTTATCTCCAAAAACTTTAGAAATTTAAATTAGAATTTGGAATTTTTAAGTTGTAAGAAACATTAGACAATCTAATCCACCCCTTGTTTTACAAATAAGAAAACTCTTCAATTTCCTATCATCAGGGTCGGGGCTACATCTTCTTTACTATCAATTCCTGTCTTTACTCTCCATGCTAAAGCAGGGGACAGTAACATTCAGTCCCTGGTTCTGACATCCTACTCCTAGTCCACCTGCGAGCATTTTTCCAGTTCATACTCGACATGGACATGAGCTACATATGCTCATAAATCCAGACCAATGGTGGTTGTGGGGTTTATCTACATGCAATTTATTGCCTCCACTATCTCCCTCCTCAATACTTTCTATAATGCCTCTAAAAACTTAAGCTGACCAAGAAACCCCACAAAACTAGAACGCAGGACTGTTCCCGTATCTACAACCAAAACTTACAACTAGGCTTTGATAGAGCTTTTGCAGTCAGTTCTTAGTTACTTAAAGGTGAATCATTCAGCACTTTTTTACCCTCTGAGACAATATTACTACTCCATTAGTGCCAAATAAGAGAATAAAAGAGGCATAAAAATAAGCCAATCCTAATATCACAACTGTCTAAAAGATTCTTAATAGGACATGCCAAAAATACAATTTCAAGTAGGAGAACAACTTGGGCTTTTGAAACATCAATAACTTTTGCTTCTTAACTTCCTTTAACAAGCCAAATTAAACTGTGGCAACACATCATTTGCAAATTTAGGTCATATGAATTTAAATTATAGGAACCTAACTAGGCCCCACATTTTAGAGGACCTTTACTCTGGCCCTTCTCCAGTCACACTCCTCTCCATAAGCAGGGAATTCTAAGGGCCAAACAGATGAGCATCCCTGGGGTAATCAGCTCCAAGTTCACTTCCAGGGCATACACAGGCATCTTCCCCAGGTCTGTCTGCCCGAAGGCAGACCACAGTCACTGGTGGCACCCATTGGACTTGACAGGTGGCTAAAGGACAGGTATTTCCAAGGCATGTGGAAAGAACTTGGACATGTGGGATATGATAAGATGCTCACATAAGTGCATGCAAGCACCCTCACTGATGGGGGAGGTGGGCGGGCAGCAAAGAGGGAAGACAGGATTGGGAAGGGAAGAAGGGTAGGCCAGAGGTGGACCCTCTCCATGCACCCACACTTCAGCATGGAGCTCCAAGGAGTATGAGAATTCTACATTTGAACCCAGGTACACAGAGGCATTTTTGGCAAGAAATATATTTTATTTGTTATGAATGTGTTAACAGTTTGCTAGTTTGACTTATACTCTTAAATATTTATTATTATAAAGTATGCATGCCTCCATTTGTATTCTCGTCCTGGGCCCCACACCTCTTAGGAACCAGCCTAACATGGATCCAACTCAGGGAAATTCAATACTGTGTATTCAGAGAAGAAAGAAAATAAGCAATAAAATTTTCAAAAGGTTCTGTGGAGCTCCCCTTAACATTCCAATCGATGACAGCAAACTTCAGTGAACACAGGAGACAGGAGATTTATAATCTGCTCAGCTCCCAGGTGTCTCTCAGGATGAACTCCTTACTGCACAGGGTATGATTCTCGTGCTTAAAAATCCATGTTTTTCATACACCGGGGCCCCCAGTATAATCAAGCTCCTTCAACTGGTATGCCAACAAATAAATGGTAATTCTTTCTAATGTAGAGAAAATGCTAGTTATGCTGGGTTTACTGAGAGATTATCTGTCTCCAACAAGGCATATTCCTAAGAGTATTCATGGGTAATTTTTATGATTACTGAATGTGATTTTCATCTTATGAGCAAACTTGAGAATCTTAACACCATGTAAACAGTGTTTCCACTGAATGATAAAACTACTCCTGCTGGTAAGTTATGCCACAAAGCTGACCCTCAATTATACAATCAAAGTACGAGGGTCAGCATATCTAGCACATCCCATCACAGGAACAGAATAGGATTCAGAGAGAACAATGTAACATGCCAGTGATACTTTTTATCTAATCCAAGCGGTAAGACTGAACTTGAGAAACAAATGTGAATCCTTGGCTTCTGTAGAACAAGAAAAAAAGAACTAAACTGAGCTTGGGAATAGGTCTTAAAAGTTATTGTGACACAACTACCACCTGTGAAGCAAATGACTGAGCTTGTATTCTCACTAAACTTGTCATTTAACATCATGAAATATGTTAACCAAAATATATATATATATATATATATAT